GCGAATCGTTTTTCCAGGACCGCTCCAATTTTTTGTGCTTAAATCGCCGAAACCAACAGCTCAATTTAACAGGACTTTGCCATAATATGCGGCATCATGCGACAAACAAACTCCGGGAAAATAGAGCTCAAAACTCACAAGAGTAATTTGGAACATGAAAAACGCATTAGCAACGCAAAATTGTTCTTTTACAATGGTACAGGCAACGGAAATTCTGGGTACTTTTCTCCGCACGAATCCTATCTTTTTGTTCAGCAGGATATCAGAACATATGAGCATGCCAAAGACAGTAAAGAGCATTTGGTGAGCTGTTACNCTATCTTTTTGTTCAGCAGGATATCAGATATGAGCATGCCAAAGACAGTAAAGAGCACTTGGTGAGCTGTTACTTTTGAAGGGCGGCGCTCGAGAGGACTCGATATTAGATTGAGTAGTATTTCTGTATTGCTGCTGAAGATCACCAACAAACCTTTTCAACGTAGCAAATGTAACAAGCGCGGGATGCACTACACTCTTCTGTAAATCTGTTTGAATGCCGAAGGCGTAGAGTGGGGAATATGTGACGTTGTCTAGTCTCTAACTTAGCCAACTTTTTTGTCTTGTTGATTCAGAACCCTGTCCCATTATCCGAACTAGGGCTTGAGAAATTCTATACTGGATAAAACGACAGTTGGAAGTCTAGATCAAGAGGGAATATTATACAGTACGAATTTCAGTGCTTGCCATCACGAGCAATCCATGGCATCGCCCCAATCAAAGTCTACGAAAGTTGGCATAACTTTGACCAACGTGTCCAATTCATTGGTGGAGTGGTGGTTACGGTCTAACGAATATGTACTCAATCTTGATGTTGAGAGTTAGTTCCGATGGGCTAGCGGCCTTGTTTCTTTGACCCCCCGTAGACTTCTAATTCAAGCAATCTTTGGACGGTTTATTGGCTGTTCGTTGCATCACTGAAAATTACCGGTTGGCTGACAGTTCCTTCCAAATTTCAAAGGCAGTTCTTCTAAGTAAACAGTGGCCAGGCTTTGCTGTTGTACTTCTGGGTTTTACCGAACTGCCTGGTTCGGTTTCAGTCAGTGGAAAGTGAGGAGAATTCGGCCTGAGGTCTGCGCATTATGTTGTTGCCAAACATCTGACAAAATCGCATAATCGCTGTTAAAATCAGCCTTGAAACTGACTTTTGTGGGTAGACCTCCCCTTGGTCATGGAACGATTGCTTCCCGTATCTGACCTTACTGTCACTTGGCTTGCATAAACAAGATTAATAAAGCCATTCCAGATTCCAGATTCTCCCATTCCTAACTGTATGGGAAATTTACTGTACGTAACTAGGATTTGCCTATTTCTGCTTCCTTTTTGATAGCTTAGGATTAGATTATACAGTAAATAACTATAAGAAGAATAAAGACTGCGAACAAGACTTGTTCATGTGATAGTTCCTCTTAGCTTATACGTTACAAATTTATATTATGCCGGGAATCACGTGAAAAAGTTGCGTGAAAATCAGCGGTACATACACACTAGTGGGGAAAAAAAGAAAAAAAGGTGGAAGGATTTCAATGGGCCACCGAATCACGTAAGTGGTGCCAATGTTAGACAAGTTTGTGGGACCGAATTTTTTTCCAGGCCAGCTCAAGTTCAGAAGTTTCTTTTGGACTCAAAGTTATGGGTCCAGCTGCCGGATTCCACTCAACTCTGCAATCGATAGTAGTCTGGATTGCACCAACCGTGATTGTTTCTGAGATACGCATCATATGAAAAAAGGCGTGCTGTTTGTCGATGGCATGACTGGTTTCGGTCGGATGTGACTCAATCTCACTTGAGTCTAATTTCTTCCAACTACCACTCAGAGACACGGGATTGTGTTCTCACGTTCCGTCCGACAAATACCTTGTCGTACAATGCTCAGCACGAGCGTACAAATGAGTACAAACAGAAGATGGAGTTAGAACGTACCAATTTGTCCTTCAGACGGGACCGGATAGTTGGGCTGTGATTGAAACTCAAGCAGTGATTAACAGCTATGAATACCGTATCAACAGAGTTTTTGAGCCTTCTGGTAATTAGTTCAGCAACAGAGTCACCTGTGAATGAGAGCCTCATGTAGACGGGCTTCTTCCCAATGAAACATTGTTTAGGTTTTGGCTTAACGGATTCCACAGTCTTTTAGGATAGCTATTATGCAGGAATGTGTGTTCAAAGAACTTCGTTTCCCCTTGTGAGCAGTCGGAGGAGCATATCTTCATTGCTCTATTAGTTAGGCGCCTAATCATGTTACGTTTCCGTTTCAACCGATAAACGCTATCTGATGGAATTTACTGACCTTTCCATGTTTGTTTTCTACGGATTTTTCGCTTTATGGTTCCGTCAGACTTCTTCGTCAGACTTCTAGCATCGAGTTAAATGGCTCGATAGTAACCTTGACACTAGTATCAACTGAAGTGAAACTGTTTGCTCGTCTGCTGTGTTGGTAGTTTAACTTTCGAGTCCCAAATGTGGTCATCAAAAAATCGGGGCCCAAATGAGGCCGCATCGCGACTCGGTCCTTTTACCGAGAAATTTGATTACTGGAAGGAAGCTGAACATTATAGTTACAGAGTAGTAATAGTTCTTGAAGATCCGGAATATGAATGCCGAAATCTTTACCGTTCCACTCAATCAAGTCCCAAAGGCAGTCTATTTTCTCAATAAGCGATACGTTAGCAAACAGTGACTCGACGATCAGGGGGATCACAGAGTGCTAATCAAATCTGATCGACGAAATCAAACCTCTCAGGATGTGTCAACATTCTTCTCCTGATTGGTTATAACAGTTTGGCAAGCCATTTGACCAATGCATGATAGGGAGAATCAGGCATATCGAGGATGGGCCTGAAATTTAGGCCGGGTTTATGGAATTTTGGGAGGGAATAAAGCCGAGGAATTGTTGTGCCGGAAGGGCGAATACGCTCAAACATATTGATATCAACGTTTCTAGATTCTTTAAGATGTAGTATTTTGGGCACCACTTTTCCAGTAAGTCTATTTTGATGGTTAGAAAAATGGTATCGCTGTGATGTACTCGTGAGTATAAGGACTCCCCTAAGCATGACATTATTCTTGAAGCACTCAGAACACGTTATTTCAGTAATGTGTCCCAACTATGGATGCAAAACTTCCTTTAGTTATCGGCCGAAAGTTATGAGATTTATTCAGTGTTCAATAGGAATTGTTTTGTAGCCAGGTTGCAGCATAACCACCCTTGCTTACGCGTAGCAGAAGCTAAGGGGACGTTAATATTAGAAATATCAGAAGGAGAAACATTTGACAAAATCAAACTATCCCCAAAAAATCAATTGAATCAAAACCGAACTAATACGCACTAGTTCTTGACGCCGGCGATTCTGCGTTTTATGCAGCTTACTAGTCACTGAAGTTTACACATTCTAGTTTGGTTACTTCATCATTCTACCCGTCAAGTGAGTCCACTAACTACATAGAGTTGGCTACACACATATAAAAAGTACACTTGAATCGTCCAGTTTTGTCGGTCGATTCACTATCTGACGTTCGGTGCACAGCATCCTAGAAGTACGGAAGTAATTTGAATCAACCATGCGTGTTGGTGATTCAAAAAAGTTTATGCTCCCATTTGTGGAAAAGAACAATCATTAAATGCTTCAGTCGGCCATACTTGTCCATTTGACGGACATGATACCTCTTCTTTCTTGAGAGATTAAGCTATTCACTACTACAATTTAGGTTGGAATATAATGAGATTCTCATGGCATACAAGTGGGGTTATCATTCGTTTACTGTATGTCCGCAATCAATGCGCAATCATCTTCGATAGTACAATATCAGTGTTCAAAATTGATGCTTCGCCGCCGTACAACCATTATTTGGTTGAAAGCCTTATTATGAAAAAAAATCAATGTGGATGAGGAACGGACTTGGTGCTACTTTAATACAGTCATTTCGAGGTACCCACACCTCCGGACACTCATTCAGGCAATCGAAATCAATTAGCTGCTATATCTTGCAACTTATCAAACCAGGCGCAATGAGGATCACCTGGTCCCATTCTGGAAGGCGAGTCGCACGGACACCATCCGAGCTTTTCGCATTGTTTCACGTCAGTCTACCAGTTCAAAGTTTGGCTACTTCTCTGCCCCTATCAAACGCAGACAAACGGTAGACGGTTCGGCATGCGCAATACATGGCCCAAGCAAAACAGCTTCTGCTACTAGACACAAGCTTCGATTTAGATCTCCGTTGCACAACCAAACACTCGCTCTCTAACTGTTTTTTTTACGGATTCGCCGAGCTACGGTTCCGAGACAACGGTCATCGGAGACCAAGAAACGTCTCACTTCCGCTGATCGAAGTCTGACGGCCATACATAAAGCGGCGTGTTTTGTAGCCTGCTACACACGTCCCTTGAGATTCAGGCATGTGTAACTTTCATGCCATAGGTGTCTCAAATTGTCAAACGCAACCCGAGCCTTGCAGATTCGTACATTGACCTCATCCGTTACACTACAGTCAGAACTACAGTCAGAAGTGATACAACTTCCAAGATAAGTAAAACGCTCCACAACTTCCAATGCCTGTCCCTGGATTGTAAGTGGCGTGTTCAATGACTGCATATCCAGGAGCGCGGCCCTACATTTTGTGATTGAGAAGTGAATACCAAAGGACGGTATGACTTTGGTCAGTTCATCTAAAAAAATACCGGCGCCTTCTCCTAAACTCCGAAGACGGGAACGATATCTTGTGCATATCCCAGACAAACAAGGTTTTCGTCAGCTGTTGTTTGAACACCAAGGTTTTGAGTATTTTATACCAAAGGACGCATTTTCTCGTCGATCACGAAATTACATAGGAATAGAATGAGTGGGCACCCCTGACGGGTAAGGCTTTGTGTACGGAAGCCTTTGGAGATCTCTCTCACTTAGAATACAAAGAACGTATAAACTTAACAGACTTCCGGGGCATTCTTTTATGAGAAACGTGCCATGAAGATCAATATGCCACCAAGGTTAGATTCACCAGACACCCCTATGGGGTATCACCCCCACGGAATGGCTACATAAACCCTCCCTCTGAGTTTCAAGTGAGCGAATAGACTAGACCTAAATCATCCACCTCAAATCCGGTAATGTCCCATAAAACCCAAAATTTTGCGAAGAAACTTCAAACCGGAAACCAACGCGATCTCTCGACAACTCCAGCCAATCCGCTGCCGGCAACTGCAATGAATGTGCGCTAACCCGTTGCGAAGTGCAGCACTTTCCCTTTCTGGACTTCTACTGCTGTTTAGCGTCCTTTAAATGACTTTGGAAATTTGTGTTTCATATGAGATAACAGCTGTTCAAATCCATCCCCTGTAGGGTCTCACCACAGGTACCAATGCCCTTTTTATTCGAGACTCAGTCAAACTATTTAAATATCCACTATCCCGAAGTCTGTTCCACACATCAATTTGGCTGTTGTCCGATCGATTCCTTCTGTATGCAAGACCCTTAGTCGGCGAAACATTGACCACATATCACTAATGAATATCGGTTTAAAGTGGGCAGACGAATAGTTCAGTTAACTTCTGGTGCACCGTGGTTTAGATGTCCCACCAATCTAGGTGTCGTACAATCTAGTGTGCACAACGTTGAACACACTTTCATAATAACTATGATGTGGGAACTCAGGTCACTCAAATAGTTGTGAAATTCACTGGCCTGGTCTCGTTTAATCACGACATAACGCTAAAATACCCTTGGGTGAGTACGAGAATTCGAGCGAAGCTTTTTTCGAAATATTCCATGAAAATATCCGCCAAAACCAGGACAATTAAATGGCATTGTACCGACATTAAGTATCCTAAAACTGGTGGGTAACATAGTAACTACAAAGGCTGATAAGAGTAAAGCTTCTGCTGTCCTGATTATCTAGAAAAGATCAAGTAACACATAGTTGAAGGACCTCACCTGCGAATATGGCGTCTAAAATGAAAGAGTAAAGTTGAAGTTGGCAGGTGTTTGCGATAAGTAGCGTACCATTACAAACAAGGTAATTGGTATCTATTGTATCCTAAAAGTTCAATCCATCCACGGCCCACGATAAATCCACGAAGTAGATGTCCCAGTGGGACGGTAGTAGGCTGATATCCAGTTAGCGACAAGTCGACGTGTTCTATCACGTGTTTACCTTTTCAGACAAAAGAACGTGTGAGAATATTTGTCGAGTTTCGCGAAAGATTCGACGAGAGACTGTCACCGTTACCCTTTGAAAAAAAGACTTAATCAGTGTAGACCACGCGGGGATCCAACTTGTCTGGTTGTACTGGCATCAAATTCATTTACTAAACACAACTGTTCTAAAGTTCCTGTGTAATGGTTCATTAGTTTATGATATACTGGTATGAGTTTTGCTCTGTTTCGTTGTCGAACGCTATGCAGACTAACGAAATTTGCCAATGACATCCAAAAGGAGTCACCGATTGAAGCACACTGATCAGAAAGATTGAGGCCAAACTAAATCGAACTAAATGTAGAATTTTCCAAACCTATCCACTGTAAGATTTCGGAACCCATGAGAAATGGCCAGACCTTTTACCTGGTGTTCACTACTGAACTTGTCGGTTGCTGATCGGTTCTCCGTCTTCCTTGGAACTCGGACAACCTTATAGCCTACTCATTTTGTCTGACGAAACTTTTGTGTCAAAAGTGACACGTTGCTCAACCATTAACCCAAGCTCACCAAATGGTGCACTGCTGAACATTTGAAGTTCATGACTACCGCGAGGGACTGAGTTGACGAACAACAACAGGATGAATGCAGTAGAAAAACAGAGAATACTATAGACAGACAAAGAATGCTGCATTTCCAAATCGCAGGCCAGCTTATGTCGGGTCCAAATCGTTTCTCGTCCTTCTGTAGCACTCCTCACCCCAACCCAAATGGTTCAAGTTACGTCTAATTTGAAGGCCTCAGTGGCTATACTTTCAACCGTCAGATGCCAGAATGTATTATATTTTTTGGTCGGCTCCCCCCTGATGAGATCGAAGTTAGGAATAACGTGGATCGCGTGATCAACATGTGATCACAGCATGATCCGTCTCGGAATATTGTCTGCTACGCTGCTGTTCCCACTGCACTTTCACGCGAGCTGTCAGACCAGACGGCAAGACCAACTACAGCTAAATACCGGAAGTGCAGCGAGCGTGCTTTTTCAGGGGACTGGGCCAATAACGCACTGTTTTTTTTCAAACAGCGCACTTTTAGCCATGTTGACAGACATGCTTTCACAGACTGGAAAGTGGCACTTGCCAAGACCTTAATTAGACACATTGGTGTTCATTTTATTGTCTATCGGAATGTTTTCAAGACTAATATCACAGATGAGTCAACAGTTCCTAAGTAACAAGACGAGTTGTCCAAAGGATTGCCGAATGAAGTTAGCATATCTATGCCCTCGGAACAGCTACAGGTTCATCGTTCGATCAGTCGAACAAACCAATTGTATCTCTCAGGTGTGGACACGGTCACCAGCGCAGGCTGGTGGAGTGGTGCTACCACTCACCTCCCATGTCAAATGTGTGGAGTTTTAATCACTGTCCGGCCAGTTATAAGTACTTCTGATGAGTTCTAATGAGAGCGAAACTCGAGTCCAGAGCTTTCCGCTTTGATTTGTACTGATAGACCACTGTTCCAACAAGAATAATGTAAACGTGAATTCTAGAAATCCGGAAAACACTTAAAACAAAACAAATTTTAGCGAAATGCACTCATTTGCAAACAAATTTGGTTTCGCTGATCCTATTGTGGTTGTCTTAACAAGAGAGAACTATAAAACGTACAGCGACGTATTGAATGGTAATAGTTACCAATTAATTACTCGGCATTTGGGTTTGAGTTAACTGGATAGTATAACTTGCAACCGTTAGAGTGAAAATTGAAATGTGGTATCTCCAGTCAGTTAACATTTCTGTTGCAAATGAATAGGGATAACGAATTTTACGAAACTTTAGTGGGAAGTGGATACAAACGAAGCACAGCAGCGCAAGACCAGGATGCTTTCGAGTCAACTTTTGTGCACGTCACGGTGTCGACTGCTTGAATAAAATATTTGTTTGATCACTTGTGTCTTTCCGTCCAAACTCTTTGCCAAACCAGCACACGTCTGTACCAATCCCTCTGGTTTGCTCGTGTCACATCCCTAACATAGACGGAACATTTGGAATCGCGTGTCCCGGTGCCCGAAAGCATTAACTTCCTGGCTTTCACCTATCGCTCGAACCCATATAACTGAGAGGAATCAACACTGACGGGTCATCATACACTGGTGCGTGCATATCTATGGGGAATAGCAGTTTACTATTTAGACGACTAGAAAATGAGCCACTTTGTTGGCTCTTGTAGAGATGCGCAAAGTGTGATCTTTGGGCTTTGGGTTTCTGATGGTATTCCGATATTCCAATGATTGTACCCAACATACCAAGCATATAGTAGACGAGCCACGCACTTTATCTGTTCACGATAGTTCACTGCTCAGCCAGTCGATGAGTGGTGCGAAATTCGGTTTCAATAAGAAAATAAGCCCACTGAAGTTTTGACGAGTTCCACGAAGAACGAAGCTGATCGTGGGCCATACACAGTTTTCATCGGTCCAATACATGGTACTCAAACATGATTGTCTACCTTGAGTATCGCTCCAACCGAAAGGTAGGACTCCATTTGTATAGCACATTCGGTTGGAGAGCTTTCAGATAAGCCTCAGCTGAGCTTCCCGTCGTAACCAATTTAATGTTAAACGAGACTTTGTTGCATCAGTTTTACTCTTCCCCATAGACAATGAAGGGGAAATGAGAGGAGTTATGTCACGTGTACTGTGAGCAACCCTCAGGCGTCGTGAAAGGCAAGACAGTTTGTAGGCAGTGGATAGAAGCTCGAAGTAGACACAGTTGATTACTCATGCAACGAAGTACCTGAACCTGTGACTAGAACTGACCTATCAATGAGCCATTGGAGATCGCCAGAGGGACATCTAGATATCCGAAGGAATATGACAAAACCGATTGAGATTCGAACGAAGGATTCGGTACGTTCCGAATTCACAGAAGCAGACCTTGTTTGGACAGTTACAAAGTGCTTCATAAATGTCAAATGGAACAGATATGAATGTCAAACTTGATGTAATGGTCGAATGGCGTTGGTGGATAACACATTTTTGTTCATACCGTTCATTGGAGGGTATTTTTATCTCATTTAACATACCACTGATTTACAACAGTCTGGTGAAGAATTGTCTGGTTTAGTGACATCCAAATCGAAGAACGTGCAAGATGGTGAATTCGATGAAGCGCGTGGTAGATGTGATGAAAAAAATGTTTAATGATTGCAAGCTGGAGTGGCCATAACTTGACGGGTTAATTAATCACAATTTGGGAAGAGAAGGATACAGCGGGTAATTGACCGCTATTTTCATTGGAACACGCGTCTGTGGACCCGTTATGTAGCCGGTAAATTCGATTTTTCAGTGTGATTCTCAGACTAACCAGCTAGTAAGCAGATAAGATGACCATGTGATCAGTGGTCAGAAAATGTTATCGATAATTAGTCGTCGATTGTCCGTACATAATAGGCTTGTGATCACATGGTTAGGTGTCCGATATCTCTGCGTCCAAACTATGGGCCTAAATTAAAACGAACTTTCTTCGTTTTCATTTTATTTTGAGGCTAAAATTAAGCTTATGCATGTGTTCGTAACTTTCTATTTTTATATCAGTCTTGTAAGTTTGGCTAGCCGGTTCAGCTTTTATCACCATCCCAAAAGATGAACGCTCAAGGGATGTTCAGGCCATCAGGACTCTGGTTTGAAATCCATTAAATTTGGCCCATTCACTTTCAACAGAACGATTATGTGGTGATAACATCACCGGTAGGACCCATCGCTGTTGATGTTTTGACGTCGTATTGCGAAAAAAGTTTTCAGCTAGCTCAGATATTCCAATCATGTCCTCTTGGTTTTAAACGAACAACACACTAGCAGTACGTTAGGCCTTCTAGGACCCCAAACTTCTTGATTGCGAGTTGTCCTTGAATGCATTCAGCATGCTGTGCACGAGCTTCTTCTAAAAGTCTACATATTCATACCTTTATATGAATCTTGTCTCAGCATTTCTCATACATGTTCAATGCTTCATTCGCGAAAATTAAAGCCTGAAGTCACCAATTATCTGGCAAAATTTGCTGAAACAATGACTTCTTGATCAGTATCACACAGTTTATCTGAAGTCCTCTGTTTTGGCTCACATGTTTGGGGCACATGAAACGCTATACTGACGTGTTCACTTAGCAGACAGTGGGGCAGTTGATATCCCTCATATGATTTTTAAGAAACAGATGAACAGAAACTGACCCATTTATCTGATCAGGCCATTCGATTCGGCAGTGAAAGAGTGCTCTTCACTGAGGTCGGTTACGTATCATGTCCTTGAGATGATTGACCTTTTCCAGAGAAAGTCATGAAGACTCGAAGATCCCACAGGACTCAGTTCGGTGGCAGCCGCATTGATTTTGCGCTGTCAGGTCATGCCCTGCACCCGCCAAACTTTCATCGACAACAGTTCAGTTTTGAAAACCTTGCTCTCTTTGGTAAGTAGTGGTCCAGCACGCATAGCACATATCCCCACCATCTTAACCTGATAAGTTTCACTTGAAAGTTTAAGGATTCTGATTAATCGACAAGTAACATCTCACGCGCTGATCCATTGTGAACATGCTGCCGCCAGCTAACGCCAGCTATCCTGCGAAGACGCCAATTATTAAACGTATGAATCAATCTAATGTCCTTGAATCAGAATAGCTCATCATCGCAGCCCTAGGGTACGGCTGCACTTCTGGTCGCCTGGTACGCATCTCCTCCAGTTCGCTTCAACGAAATTTCTTTTTTAAAGTTGTAAATGAAAGAAATTCGCAAATGTGATCCATGCCTTGATTATGCGTGCAATGACTCGTGTCACTGTGCAGACACGTCTTGCGCAACGGCAGGGCAGGTGTTACTGCCTAATCATCAAACTACTGTAAAACAACATTGATGTTGCTTTCATTCTCGTCCAATTCCACAGTACCAGTCCTCCGGATTCTCACTAATAGGGAACCGCCGCTAAATTTGGTGCTGTCCCAGCCTAATTCCGCACATAAAAACTGCATGACATCTGACTATCCCAGTTATTTTCTTGCGAATTGAGGTTTGCTTTCCATCCTGAAGCTTGCCGTAATACCGCAACAAATGTATCAATGCAGTTTGAGTTGTTCTTTACCGAGTATCCCCTCCTTCATGGGAGATTGTACTCTGTCTTTAAATTCAAGAGCTTAAATAGTCTCTTTTCGTCTAGAAGTACCGGAGTAGAAATCAGTATACTTACACTGTACACACGAATAAATTACCGAAGTATTCTATTCTCCCTGGTTATTACAAATTCGTCTATTTATAAGAAAAAACTGTTTTGATACTTAGAAATCCGTATATGTTTGATTTAGTCAACTGCGTACGTGTGCTATGCGGCCACTGAAAAGGTCGACAATTCACTATGTCTTTCTACGCTTTCTATCAACTGTAAAACCTCTCCTTTTCACTTACTTTTCAAAGCACGTCTCAATGATTTACCTGGGCTGACGTGGCATTAACGATAAGTCTAAATGAATGAACTAGACTAAATATACTGTCACATCTAACTTACTGACACGGACGGTGTTTTTAAAAACACTGCAGATATCTACGTGACTTTCTTGGTTTCGATGTTTACGCAGATTTTTGTGGATTTATTTTTAGAAGTGGATGCCGTATGATGTGATGTTTTAAGCATTTGCCCTCCACCCTAATACTTTTTTCATCAAATTCGGGCGGAACAATCACTAGTGAACTAGCCCACAAAACGCCTAAAAGTTTATTTATTCACTTCGTTTTGACAGCACCCAAGGCTAAATTGGTCATGAGAGTCACTAACCGTAACTGCCATATGAAACACGTTAAGTAAAATTGCCACTCATCAGGGGCTATCACTACATACCGTTTGCAGCGAATGCTGATTGATTCTGGCGTTTTTTACGTATTAGACTCAACAAACCTCTTTATTAGTACACCAGAGCCGATCATGGTTGGTTGTAGCAGCGTGTCATAGGAGTGGAGACCAGGCGCTCAAAAAGATTTGATTGAGAGAGCACCGAGAATGGAGGTGAAGACCGTAGGAAATCCACCAAACATTTTGTTAAAATGCATCACGAGGCAGTTGTAGCGGCAGTTGGAAACCGATGTGCATTCACTACGAACTGAACACAACTTCGTGACAGTCTCCGGAGACTTGAAGTCACACCACTTCTGTGAAGCAATGTGATTAACATTTTGCGTGCTTTCGGTGTGCTACCACTCTGTCGTATTTGAATTAATACATGCTACTTGCTGGGATTCTTTTAAGGGATGACCCTGATGTAATCATTTCTTCATGGTTTGGCTAAGACGCCGGATTGTATTTTGAGGACCTCAAGGAATTAGACCGTTGTCTTGATGAACGCACGTTGTTGCTATCCACTTGCACTCTGTCCCAGAGCTGAACGCACTTTGCTGGATTGGATTTCAGTCAACGGTAATCTGGGCGCCTCTTGGTTATCCAGCTCGATCAAACTCGGAGTTACTCAACATAGAAAACGGTGCCTCTTTTTGGTGTCGGTATGTGCTCCAACAGACTGCGGTTCTGAAGCTGAGAAGGTTGATTTTTATCGACAATTATCCGGACTCATTCTTCAAGAAGGAAGCACTGACAATGTGATAGCGTGCCAATCCACCAGCTTCGGAGAACTAACGCAGCTCAGCAGTAGGGATCTGAAATAGCTCGTCTACTTTCCACAGTAAACCAACACTGCACTGATAGCGGGCAAGCGGATGAACATGGCAAAATGTGAAAGGAGCTATGTTAGCTGCATTCATTGCCCTCTGTCCGACTTCTCCGATACCATCGAATGACCACTAGATGTCGTTGGTCCCGACTGATTTCAGGAAAACTATGTCAACAGATATCGATCACGACGGTGCACGCAAATCCCTCAAATACCAAAAAGTGGAGACTAAGAAAATACCGATGTTTGTTGGACAATCAAAGCTCAGAAGGTGAAGGAGGCCTTTGCTACTGGGAACGGCTGCGCCATATCCCAATCAGTAGGATTGACTGGACAGAAGAAAACAACGGTGAATGAAACATTGAGTAAAAAATGCTGCTCATTAATTCACTCTCAAAAACGCCGTGGAACACTTTGAAAAGCAGTTTAGTTGGGGTCCTGTTACACCAGACAGTCAGTGCGGTCGATGCGGGCGATTAGGATGTGAAACTTAACTGCCCGTCAGACGAAGAAACAAAACACGAAGTATCCGTACTGAAACATGGGCAGGTGCCAGGATAGGAAGGTCTGCATCCAGCCCACTTCAAAGATGGCGGAGAAGCCATGATGACCTATCTGATAGAACTAACCGATGCGACATGGTGTGAAGACTGAGTTCCTGCAGAATGGAACACACTGATAGTCATCCTTATCTTCGGAATGGGTACACGAATACTGCATGAAAACCATCGTGGCATCAGTCTGATGACTGTGGCATCGAAGTTGCCCTCTGGTCTCATTATTCGAAGGTTGACTGAACGCAGAAAGAGAGACAGGTCAGTGAAGACCCAGCTGGGTCCCGTTCTGCGAGAGGATGGACAGATCATATTTCCCCCTCCGACAAACCTTGAAACAGCGATGCCATTTCCAGTGGGTGACAACATTTGTCCTCGTTGACCTGAATGCTGTATTTGACTCTGTGGACCATCGGACACTGTGGCAGTGCTGCCTCACGTAAATTCTTGATCCTCCTTAATGCACTTCCGCAGATGCTTGAAGATTTGCAGAGGACTCTCTCCTGGGCTCACCACGTCAAGTATTGTTTGACAAAACTATCATCTTTTACCTTCCTTCTTTCACTTCGTCACTGGTATGATTATAGTACACTCACTCCAATACTCTAATGCCTGTGAGGTATTCGTTCACAGATATCAAGTACGCAGACGATATAGCTCTCATTGAATCTGACGCTACTGTAGTGGGGAAGAGGGATACATCAATGGTTAGAGACATTGTTCCAGTTACGCCGTCAATGACTGGCGTTTACTCATGCTGTTGCTTCCAGTGCGATAGCATCTCTCCCAATTTCTTCAGTGAAGAGGCCACCAGTACTTTCACATTTAGGCAACGATTATATTAGCCAACGCCTCCAAAGCGTAGCTATTCACCGGTGAGCAAAACTGTGGCAGCTATAACGACTGTACAACGAGCACGCGGATTTTTATAGCTGAAGATGATTACGATGATGATAATCATGCATTTACTTACGCGAACCCTTAAGTTTCCGTCTGGATAGTAATTTGAGCCTATTTCTACAGGTTGAACTCTATCCGAGGTGTCTTCACATCCTGGGCAAACAATCCGTTAGTTGAAGTAATTTCAGTTTTCGGGAGGGGCTCCATCAGGCAACACCTATGAAACAACGTTGGGGGAAGTCTCACTTACGTTACGGACAGTGAATTTCTGGTCCACCTGTTTTGTGAACGAATACATACTAATGAATTATCGCCATCACTCAGGAGTGAGACCCTCGAACAGCAACTCTTCACAGGCTTCTATTTTGAATTTCTTGGTCAGTTAAGGGAACAATGAAGTCTTATTTTGACATATGAATCAACTAAAGCTCTGAAAACCGATAAACAGTAGGACAACAAGACCATGCTGACTCAGTGTACTAGATTCACATACGATGCTGGAGCCGGTCACTTAAAATGCTCCAACTCGATTTTCCTGCGTCAGTGAATAGGTGGTATATGAAATGGACAAATATGCCGATTCTTTGTGCCCAAGGCTTACCAGACTTATAGTGTTCTTGAAACAGAACACGATTTTGCGCATGAATAGGTCATGAATGTCCCCACCATCCCACTTATATATGGAGCCAAATAGAACACCCAATCGTGACCCAGCTATCTCACAGGCGTAACAGACTGAAAAACCTAAAGCCTTTCAAACAACCTTTCAAAACTTAGGATTTCCAATTAGACAAGTGGAAATAGTCTTGAAGATTGGTTGATCTAAGGAGGGCACTGAACTAGCTTTGTGGATTGTGGATATCGATAAAACGACTTACATATACCCCTTGAATAGAAGCTGCAAGACGAATCTAAAAACGACATATCCACATCAGCTCCATATCAGTTAAAGAATGTCATAAGAATGCATGAAGTGGGAAGGATGTATGCCGAAGCGTCAGAGAAGCGTCAAAAGCAGAACGAGAACTGCTAGTCGCATTAGAAAAATGTAGCAGGTTAATGTTACATAAAAAATCAAATGGGTTGACAATTCAACCCTTTGAATCACTGCGACCGAAATCAGAACAGCCCAATGGAGAACAATCATTGGCATGAGTAATTTCACATTGGTTTCGTCCCGTATTTCCGTGGCTCACTTTCGACACAAACATTGTGTTTCATCTATTGGCGTTTTCTATCAAGTGACGATTTCGGCTGATTAGCTTAACAAAATATAGTAAAACGTACCAACTTCTCGTTTGACGACTGACCTTTGATAATCAACCCTTCTGTTTTCCTTTCCAATGATAAAATATAATGGAAAAAACAGCCAACACACTACTGAATCCCATCTGTCGGAGGTTGTTTCTGAGGTTGATTGACAGATACAAACAGGCACAGTGCACCTGAGGTAGGCATGGTTTCTGGAACCACGAACACATGGCATTTGAACAACGAATGAACACAGTTCAGTTCATTAGTTATTGTCTCTGTTTCTTGCGTTGTCTGCAGGCAAAAAGGCCCCTCAGTTCTTTGCGGAACCGCGAGCCGACTGCAATATATAGGTAAAAGTTGGCTGCGTGATTAGTGTACATCAGAAGTTCAGCAATGCAGTCCATCCATTCTAGTCCTACCGACGCCATGCTATTCCACGTTATCATTCCCTTGACCAAACCTACCGGAGAGGTGGTCACCAAAAATGTTGCGGACATCAAGAGTAACAAGATGGTAAGTTGGCGCATTTCTGTTGCCATACTGTAACCATGTTTGCGTGTAATGTTAACGGTTTTGACGGCTATTCCATTAATACGATATGGAAGGAATGTGATGTTGACAGGCCTTTGTGGTGGCAAAGCTCTCCAATTGTCATGCCTCAGCATTGAAGGAACATCTGACTTATGGGTTTCGCAGCAATTTACCGGCAACCACTGCTGGATTTCATTGGAATCGCGAGGAACATGAAACCTATCAATGGGGAACGACTGAGCACAGAAGGTGCACACTTTTCTTGGTGGTGCTGCAACTGGCCTTTCACGGAACGAGCGGAAATTTGTGAGCGATTTCCATCCTTGATGCATAACTGACGGAGTATTTCTGGGGTTAACACTTGCCGGAGCAGCGTGAGTTGAGTTCACTAGTAGGGCAGATCGATTCTTGTTCGCAGTACGAAGACTAGTCAGAATTATTATATTGAATACTGTGATCAGCAAAAATGGGATATAACTATAAATGGCAGCATCAATAGACACCCATGCACGCTTAACTCCGTTTGTGGAAAACGGTTCACGAAAGTCGCAAATTTGTGCTGGCTGTACGTGATAGGCAGCAATCATCTCTTTTGCCGTCAGTTTACCTAATGTCACAGATCCATTCATAAGGAAAGCATTGTTTGGCGTGAAATAATCATCTCTGATGATAGAAGTAGTATCAACGAGGTCGATCGTCACAAAAAAGTGACTACCAATCAGGAAAACTGCCAAAGTCATACACAGCAAAATCACTCTGGAGCGCTTTGCTCGGTCGGACTGGGCGGAATGCAATGGTAACTTAATGACCAAGGCGCGCTCCACTGTGACGGCCACAACTATCCAAGCTGATAAGCAACTTGTTGTAACTCCAGTGTAGTTCAGGAGTTTGCACAAAACCCAGTGTCTCTCTTCCAATCGGTGACCAGCTAGCCGGTCTGTCCAGCGTCGGAGTAGGCCGAAGCACAATACGCCTTCGTCCACCAAGGCCAACACAGCAAGGTACATGTAGGATGGATGATAAAGCATCGATCGTCGGCAAAGCACTGAGAAGGACAGTAAATTACCGACCGTACCAATGAGGAAGATCATGGGTGGAACAACTAAAAATATGAGCGAGATTACTTGACAGTTGAAGGCGACATTGTCTTCGCTGGTCCAGCCAAGTTCGGAGTGGAGAAAACTGCGAACCAAGTCAGCATCCTCCTCTGAATAGTTGAGACGCAACCGTAATTGTTCCTTGCTAAGATCAAGCAGCTTCATTAATCCCTCAGTATCATAATCCTCACAGCTGAATGTTGCTTTTGTCAGTTGTTCCATGCCACGGACTGCTCCCCTACTGTGACATCATTTTATTATCGAAGAAACGGAGTTCTCATTGGCTACACTGTTAGGCCAATCGCTTTGCCGTAAAGTCGAGGTGGAAAACTGTAGCAAGTACTGAAGCCCAAGAAATCTTACGATGTGTTACATATATTCAGTCCGGTATACGATATCTGCTAAATGACACTGACTTTCGGGTCGTCTACTGGATTGTGGGTTTTTCCTCTTAAGATGACCAGTTCTGTTAACAGTTCACACAAATATTTTTTAATAACCATTCTGCCTTCGAGCTTGCGAGCATAGAGCGATATTTATCGAAAAAATCTCAACCAAACGTTTTGACGTCCATGGAATTTTTGGTGCTACGATAATACAAAATAATATGTGAAGGCCAGAAAACAGGTCAGTAATTTTGTCAGAATAGAGACGGGCTCATAGAAAAACTAAACATTCGTAACTGTGACGGACAAGCGGCGTTTCTTGCACATAAAATCGGTTATCTTTTCATCAAAACAATCACAAATTTGTGAGTTGGTGGAATTCTGAAAGAAGCTTGACGGTTCAAATTTTGACATTAGCACAGTGAACAGATGTTCCGCGGCCTTATAAATCACCATTTTTTGGCCATTGATACTACTGCTCGGTAGTAAGCATATTCGACTCCAGATATGTCCCTTCTGCTGAATGCCTAACAATGCTACAAATCTTGGATGGTTTTCCTGGATAGAAAAACTCGGTTAACACTGCAATTGACTAACCGAATTCGGAGCGAACGGAATTTGTTTCGCCATATCAGAAACTATGTAGATAACTTGATTATGGGTGAAACTATTAGATAAATTTCTTCGCTGAATTTTGCCGGCTATCTTACTGTCAGTAATTCTACGCAAATTGCGGTTTTAGAACGTGAATCTTATATTCTGCTGTTCTTGTCCCGGTTTGGGCTACTGTTGTTACTCTGGCATTTTAGGGGAGAATCATGCTCCAACAGACAGCAGTGAACGCCAAGTTGATACTCAATAATTCGTTTAAATTCATTTATTATTAACATAATCTTTGGGTCTCTGATATCGATAGATCCCTGTCTGCGGATGGACAGGCAACCGAAGTTCACTGCCCTGGGTGCGTGAAATCACTGGCTTATGCACAAATGTAGGTCCACGAGGAAGGATTGACTATGATGGTAGTGTTCAAGTGTTCTGCTTTGCGGGACACCAGAGCAAACGGGACGCCAGCGTTACCATTCCCTAGTGTATAGATCAATCAGAGCACAAGACCCTGAAACAGATATCCCATTTTTTGTGGCAACACATTGAAAACGAGTAGGGAAGTGTTGCGAAGCCGAAGACTTTAGTCACGAATGCGCTGATATCTAGTTGGTTTATCACAAACAGAACACTGACTGTAAGCCTTTGTCGCACACAGCATAAGCTATGTATGTCGAGTCTATACCATATTTTGCGCTCTAAAGTAAATGCTCACTGGCCTCCTAGAACACTGTTTGATTTTTGTCTTCAGCATCTATCCGCGAATGCTGCGGAACATCATCAAGTTCCATGCAGATACACAAAACCATGTACTATCTATACAAAACCGGGATATTTATCTAATAAACTCAGTAGGGTTTAATCACCTGTATTTCGTGCATTAAATGCCTTGGGAAACTCTACAGAGGAGCGTTCACCTTGAAATCTTATCCCTGGTTTTGTTTATCATCGTGGGGGCCACACGATGCCACAGTACGCCATTCGCCTTCTTGCTTCTGAAGCGGTCATTCAATCAGGTCAAATTATTATGCCTCCGACCCCTATAACTCCACTTGATGAGGATCGCTGCGAGTGTCGAACAGCTGAGGTTTGTCGTATCTCATCACAACTTTCCTTGATACGATTATTCTTCTCGTTGCATCACACATCCGAGAGATTGAAACCCCTTCTTTGTAGTCAGTTGAACCGAGTTCTATTCTGAGTCTAATCGAGCCAGGGCAAGAAATGTGGTGGTCAGCTTGTTTTCGAATTCGACCGATATTACTTGTCAGTTATGTGAGGTGACAGTGGCGGGTCCATCGAACTAAGTGACTTCACCAGATTGATCAGTGTCCAATGCTGCGGCAAGGCGGAACGGAACGAGCGACAAACTGCGAACTCATTAATTGATGGTCATTAATGGAAAATAAGCATGTATTACGATGTAACGAGAAACCATGGTGATTCTTGGATCGATTTGAACAAGGCAGTGCGAACAATAGTACTGCAGGACAAAGTAGTCTCTTACAATCTCGTCCGTCATAATGTACAAGTTTCTATAAGGAGGAGGGGCATTGGCGAAAAGTAATTACACATCAAAACTGAGTGTCCTAGAGATATCACGGTGCATAAGACAGGGTAAATATTCATAGGTGTTCTTCTAACAATGTTTGGTAGGTGCTGTTCGCACCAGTTTAAGGATCTCTAACAGCCATTTGGCTAAATGGCAGCAAGATGAAACGTTCATAGCTAAACTGGGATGAATGGATACATGGGTCTATAGCATGTGTGAACTGCGTCCCAGTATCTTATTCTCACAAGGATATCCGTGAGAATAGGACACCCAAGGAGTAATGTAACCGCACACTGTTGCATTGCGGTTGCTTGTGTCATTGAATTTTTATGCAAGTAGAGAGACCCCCCTCGAACTAACCGGGCTCCCTGACTGGGTAGCCTGCTGAAACAGCGCGAGGAAAACAAGGACACAACCTTTTCAGAAGAGCTGTTAAACAATTCGGTAGTTTTTATTTGGGCAACGTTTCGATTTTGACACAAAAGCTTAATCAGGCCAAGTGAACAGGTCACAAAATGGGCCAGGTTATAAGACAGACGGGGAACCAATCAGTAAGTTCTCTTCAGACTAAATCAGTGTTGAGTGTCAATTAACGGCTCTTGTCGGCTAGTGTGGGTGCCAAAATCTTGAATCGATGTGTTGGAGGGTTCCAAATTAGTTCACATCGCTTTTCGTTCCTTATCTTCCACTTCAGAGTGTTTCACTTCTCAATCGGTCCCAAACTTTTTCCAATTGGTTGAAAGACACAACCTATTCCAAATGCATATGCTCATTTTCGCCTGGTGTACCAATCAAGTGGTTTGATTCATTTTCTGTGGTGGGCACTCCGTGAGAGAAAAAGTACCGTAATGGATGAATTAGGCTGTTTGCTGTTAGCAATGTGGCCGCATTTTGGACATGATTGCGTCACAATCGTTTGATCCCTTTTAGGGGCATTGAGGTGAAGAGGGGGTAGTCCGTCGTCCAGTTAAGTCCTAAAACCTGTGTGGCTCAGGTGAAATACGGTTATGATATCTTTCCTTTCTTTCTGATGACTTGCAGGACCTATAACGTGTTCTGAATAGTCCAACTCAGTAAACATCACAAGTAGGGTTGGAAATCACTGTCACTACTTTCATGGACGTACCTATCCAGCCTGTCAAAATAAGCATTGAAGTAATCCATCAAGCTGCCAGCTTCAGATACCTTGGCTCCACCATCTCAGTCGACAGACACGCTAAAGAATAAATCCAACGGTATGGAGAAAATGCCGCGTAAGCATTTATACCACTGAATGCCTTCTTTTTTAAAGGAACTGAGATTAATTTACCTGGCGGAACTCACGTCTCTAGCGCAATTATCCATCCGATTTCGATTCATTTCTGTAAACCCCACTATCTACAAACAGGAGATATCAGAGATACCACTAGTATCTCTGATGCATAGTTGAATGAGATCCGAAAACGTTGTCATGGCCCGCCACGCTTATCTCAAATTTCACCGACAGTGTCTGCAACGGTTTGGGCATTGACTTTGCAGGAACGGTGTCCAAATCACCAAACGAACCCTGGCCCCTGCACCATGTCAGAGATGGCGTTGTCACCTCAGAAAGTAAGTGAATACCCGGATGGTTACGTTTAAGACCGACGTGGAACTAACCGGTCTCCATATGATGTGTTGCTCGTCACTGCAGCCGACAATGGATAACACAGACCGGGAAGCCAATCGCCGTCATCATCATCTTTGTCATCACTGAACTTACAACCTGATCTAGGCACGATGGGCCAGTATGCAACATTCATCCACAGATGCCAGTTCTAAAGCATTAACCTGATCTAGGCACGATGGGCCAGTATGGAACATTCATCCACAGATGCCAGTTATAAAGCATTCGTTATCTAGGAAACATAGAAGAAAGCTAGAAACACAGCACCACACAGTCACCAAGTGCGGATCATTCTGGTTGAAAATGTACTACAAAATACAGTCGTTATTGCATATTTTCAATGAGGCTGGTGAACCGCGTGCCTCAATCGTTTACCTATGCTCTCAGGCCTTTTTTGTTTCAAGTTGAATGGCATCTGAACTGAAGGGTTTATAATCTTGTGGATAAACTATTTAGTCACGATACTCAAAATTTCCCTGCCTGTCATTCTGCAACTTCGATAAAGTGAGAAAACCTCTACAGATATGTCTACATGCATTTTTCGGTGGGTTACCTGTCTGCGACGTTTTCACATACGATATTTTAATACTGCACTGACGATTCTATTGGTTTCTCAACTCCAGAACAAAACTTAATTATATGGAAGAATTCTGATAGGCTTTTAAATTAGATTTTGTCTAATTTTTTAGGTCTCCCAAATTATAATTTATTTTAGAGCTTGAGGAAAGATCGAATAAGACGTCAGGTGGACATCTTCCCACACAGTTTTCCAGTGTTAAGATTTGCGAGCCTAAGCACTTCCGTAGCTGTAAGAATAGATGCTAACGCTCTCATCAAAGGTGTAGCAGTTTTTTCCAGAATTCTTCGGCTTGTCCAAAACTTGCAGTAGTTCCTGTGCAACAGAATTTCTCTAACTAAGAACCCACTTGATTAACCATATAGTTAGGTAGGCACTCCGATTATGCTACTTTTCGTT